GTTTGTAATTTAACCAGAGACATTAACAACAATGGCAAAAAATAATTCTACAGTGGGTGTTCTAGTAAAAGAAAAGACAGTTTTGGCTATATACAACACTCGAGATAGTTAAAATGTAATAATCGTTATATATACATTAGATACATACAATTACAGTTATTTATATAATATTTACACACACAAACATACAGATTTTTCCCTTTGCAGGTGGTAGTGTACAAGCAGAAGTGCATCTGATCTTTCCTGAGAAGGTGCCGAGGCTGCTAATTCTTACTCACAGAAACGTGTATTTCTCTAACCTCTTTTGTGGTCCCATCTGTCAAAAAACATCTTGATAAGTTTTACAGTTGTGGCTGTTGCAATGTTCTGGTCTCTTCGCCATGGGTGAAGGCCTGGAAACCTCCAGCCTGCAGCACGTGAAGATTGCGGCATGCCTGAATCCTGGATCCTGAGGAAGCAGCCGTGACATTTCTCCACTTGTCAGCCATGACCTTAGCTGTGAGCAAAGCTACATTAGTATTCATTTGTCAAAGCACTCGTCAACATTCAAGTTGTTTTCTCAATGAAAAGAATACCCGGAGAACTGACACGGCAGGGAATCAGTTGCAAAGCACCTGCCAGAGGTCCTTGGGGTGCTCTGGTGAGGTGACCCTCAACGAAGGGGAAAAACCTGACCATGTTATGCCGAGAGCCAGCTAGGAGAGAACGTGGCAGGTGAGGCTAGCAGGATGCATGGGAAAACATCAACATATGGGAATGTAAACACCTTCTCCCTATTAAGTTTCTTGTCAGGAGTCCAACATTGATTTTATAATTAAAATAATAGGGTTCCTTTCAGCTTAGTTGGAAACAGTGAGTTACAAAACGTGATGCGACAGGGCACTCTTTGCTGAACTTATACTTTAGATGTTTGAGGAGTGGGGCACAGGTGTGAGCAACTCATCCTAGGCATGGACAGCTTGATTTCATTTTTGCATGACTTGAGCTCTTTGTTCTCACTTAAGTTGTCTCCTTACACCACAACCGTTTCACTGAGGGATACGGGTAAGATGCTATTTTATCAAAGGAAAATGTAAGTGTCATCACTGCAACCTCTGAAAGCCTTGTTCTCCAGAAGCACTCACAGGTAAGCAGGATGAAATCTTCACAAATTTTGAATGTTGTGTTCTGGAAAGAAAACACATCATCCTTCCTACAATATAAAGCTCATAGTACAAACTCCCTGATCTGACAGCTAGAAAGGAAAACAATGTCATATTTTAGTAAGTCACATCAGGACGTACTTTCCCAAGTGCCCTATATTTGGGCTCTTTTTTTTTTTAAGCTCTTTTTTTTTAATTACATATCATTTTTAATCCAGAGATACAAATATTGTAGCCTGGCCAAAAGCAGCCAAAAAAGGGGTCTGAAGGTTGCCAGGGGTGTGAAGGAGGAGGAGGTTAACACCAGGAAGGATGGAGAGAACATCTTTTAATCACAGCTAGAGCTGACACAAGAACAAACGACTGAACTGGCCAAGAACACATTGAAGCTGACAATAAGAGCGGAGGACTGCAGACGCCGAGCAATGAGGCTCCAGAATGGTCTGACACGCATCACAGAGGGCAAAAATCACACGCAGCCTCCCCCTTCCACCTTTTAATGGGTTGCAATGTTGAGCCACTCCTGAATGGGGTCCCTGAATGGGGCAGCCACCAGCAAAAGGTCCACACCAGTAGGTCTCTCCTGCCCGAGTCCCATGAGATCCTGCCCCTGCAAATGTGGGGGTTAGTACATGGTCCCATGGGCCTCAGGGGCAGCGCGGCTGTTGGCATGGAGTCAAAGAAGGTGGAAAAATCTGGGTGACTCCAGGTACCCACCATGGGAGCACAGGAGCTGTGGGTCAGCAAGCCCCTTCGCACAAAGCAGAAGGAAATGAGGAGTACCACCTGGTTTAATTCCTTCTGCGCTGGTGACACTAACGCTTCTGCTATGCTGGGGCAGTTGTCAACATTAGAGCATATTCCGGCTGCATTTCTTTCTTACCCCCCCAAAAAAAAAGAAATGTAATAATAAGCTTTTTTATAAGTTTTTATAGTCTTATGGGAAAATTCAAGGATTAATCCAGATGGCATCTATCTCTTTATTAGCATATCCATGCAAAGAGTGCTGATAATACCAAACTGTATCTTTTTTATTGAACTGTTCTAGAAAGCCATTCTTCTGATGGATAACACTTCTTCCTGGCAATGAAGAGATTTTCAATTATCCTTTGATACAGGAAAAAATGATACTAGTGTGCAAACCATCCAAAAATAAAAACAGCTTATCCTCTTCCACCAAGAGCAGAAAGAATTTTCTGAGTCTGACTAAACTACTCATTACAAAGGCATTTCACTGACCTTATGAGGCAGTAAACTGGGTTTGAATAATAAGTTGATATATTAACTGCTCGGGTCTGTTTTAAAGTTTGGAGATCCTGATTGCCCAAAGCTGTTGAGAATAAATTGCACCTTTTAGGCTGGTGCACGAAGAACAGATTCAGCTCCCGGTGTCAAAAATGAAACGGCTCCCAGAGCAGCCGAGGCATTTTGGCAGGGGCTTTTGGGGGCCGAGGACTTCCAGCTGCAGCCCCGTCGCCGCGCCGCTCAGCCGGCAGCTCCTCTGCCGAGGTCTCCGGTTTCAAGAGGAAAGGCCCACATTTCCAAGGATTTCTGTGGGCCTGATAGTAAAACCCACTTAGATAAGAGTCTCCAAAGCCTGGCTGATATGAAATGAGCTGGGTATAAAGATCCTGTCCTATGTACTATATGCTAGTTAATGCCTTTATTTTTATCCCATAAGGCACAGCCATTTTGATGGAGTCGAGAGGAGCTGTTCCTTACCGTTAAATGATAACTGTGCATTTGCGATGTGCTTGCACCCTTTTAATCTATGTTCTTTTACCACCCGCCTTCTGCCCCATCCAGGACATAGGCCAGGCTGGAGCCAGCTGGAGGAGCAGTGTTGGGTTTAGTGCAGTGAGACTGAAGTATTTCGTAGTTGTGTGTTGGATTTCATAGTTGAGCTATGTGTTTTGTAAGAGGAATGAACTAGCTTGCAATTGCTGGAGATGGGGAAAGGAGAATAACCCGGTAACATCCTTATCCTAGAGCCTCCTGACAGAGAATAAAAACACTTGGGGAGGTTAACACGGAGCCCACCTACCGCTGCCTCTGGGAGCACCTGGCTGACTTGCGTGCCTGCAGCCACCCCACATGAAAATCACGTTCACTGACCCCACGGCCAAACTGCAGTTGCTGCAAAGTCCACATCTGCATAATCATATATTTCACAACCAAGTTAAAAATACATTAGATACATTACTGGATTGGACACCCAAGAACCAAGTAACAGGGTTTAGCATATTTCTCAGAAGAGCCCCTGGTTCAAACCCTCTCTGTGGTTTTTCATTGAAAAATTTCACAAATACTTTGTTCATTTTTATATCAAAGTGAAAAAAAAATCAAGATTAGGTAATAACATATCTCAGTTTGAACTTCTTGCTCATGGCCTGAACAAAGTAAAATCTTAGTGTCTTTGCAGTGGCTTATTAGGAACGTAAAGAAAGAGAACTCTACGTCTAAATCAACAGTGCAAAACCAGCCTTTCTTAGCATTTTCTTCTCCATTCAAGCAAGCAGAATAAAACTGAAAATAGACATGGAAAATAAATTTCCTTTCAGACAAAGGTCTGGCCTTTTCAGGACAAATTGCTTATCCTGCCCTGAAAGAAGACTTTGATCTTTGGCTGTCAATTCAAAACTTTTATCTAATATTCAGTATGGTCCTCCACCAAAGGAAAAGAAAACATCAAAGTAAGAAGAGGAAATATGGATTTCTGCTTTCAATCTTAGCTGGTGATCTAAACCAACAAACAAAATCTTCATTTTAGTATTTTCCAGCACAGCTTCCCGGCCATCGCAGTGCCTCTCCAAGCTGCCCCTTCCCACGGGTCGCGCGCACGCCAAGAGCCAGCGCTGTGGGCCACCACGCCGGCACTTTGGTACGCAGGGCCACGCTGGACGCTTGGGAGAAGCTTTTCCAGGTCTGTGCTCATCAACGGGCTCCCACATTTCAGTTTGAGTCTATTTTTAGACTTGATACATTAGAGGAAAAACAGGAAAATATTCTAAAGGAAGTGGAATGGTTCACATTTTACTTCAAAACGCTTAACAGACAGCCATCCTCCTCCCATATTCTCCGCTTCACCTGATCAGGACAGTGAAATTGGGTGTCGTAAAATACAGGAGCACAAGCTTTGTCACCAAAGCTTTGTCAGCAAAAGCTTTGTCATGGAGCCGAGAGCTTCGGTACGGCGGCTCTTCCAGCTGGCAAAGGAGCAAAGAGGGGTCAGGCAGCTCTCCTGATGGCCAGACGTCCACTCGGAGACACGGCTGCAAAAGCCCGCACCTTCCCTTCTGGCAGGGCGCCCGAGCCACGGCCGGCTTCCCCAGGAAAACGGCAGCGTTGCGCGAAGCCAGCCCCCCTGAAGACAGTCAAAATCACTCTTTCTCCCCAAAATACCGGGAGAGGAGCCTCTCACGCGATCCTGCAGCTCTTCGGCTTTCGCGTGAGACCGGCAAGACGGCACGCGTGAACGCTGGGTCTCCGCACAGCGCGTCCCGCGAGGCACCGCGCTCCTACGGGAAACGGCGAGCGTCCCAGCTCGTCCTGCCCCCAGCACGAACCGGCCCGTCTTCAAGCACCACCGCTGCACCAGAGGAAAAAGCCAATTATCTCGGTGGCACGTGCACCCTGCTCAACAAACACACGTACCACTTCGCATACCTTACCTGGAAAGAGGCTTTATTGAACATAGCTGTAAAATTATTTCTTTCAGTTGAATTACTGAATTTGCACAAACATTTCTCTACAGAATAAAAAAAAAATCAAGCCTTGGCTTTGTTTTACTGCATCTCAAGAACACAGAATAATAATAATAATAATAATTATAATTATAATAATAATACTTTGCTTTAGACAAAAGTCTTTTTTAAATGAAGTTAAAAGCTGAGATAATTTAAGGAAAAAGGTCTTCAAATTGTCATAACCAACTGTCAGGGAACTTTACAATGCATTGGAAAACTGGCTGGTTCAAGGTATGGTATGTGTTCAGGTAGCTCAAAATCATTTGTACACGTTTGATTTTCTTGTAAAAGTGTTTTTTTGTTTTTTTTTTAAGATTTTGCTAAAATAATAAGATAACCTTTCACGCTCCGCCCAGAGTCTGGCTGCAGGGCAGAGGCGCCGCACCCTCAGCGCCTCCCTAACGCCAGCTTTGCAGGCCCTCTTTTGCCACAGAGATCTGCGTTTCATTTCGCTTTTCGTGTTTTAACATACACTGCCGTCACACACGCACACACCTTCTCGTCTCGCTGAAGCTGGGGCCAAGCTCAGTGCAGGTGGAGGTTAGAGCAAGAAAATCACTTCTGTGTTTTACCACCTTCTGCGCTAAGTGTATCTTAACCACCTTTTCCTCTGGTTGACCCACCTGATAACCTGGAAAAAGGGAAAAAAAAAAAAACCCAAAAAAACCCAGTGCTGCTCCCATTTTCAGGCCCAACGGGAGCTACTGTCTAATGGATCATAAGCTGAAAGGCCATGGCTGTCTGGAAGGTGAAACAACAAATACCTCATCCGCAAGGGCTTACGCAGCGACTTAGGTCCGTCCAGCTCCAGAAGCGGCTCTGTTTTCTCGCCTGCAGTCTGCACGCTTAGGCTCCGTAGTTTGTTTAGAAAAGAGTTTACACAAACCACATTTTAGCAGTGCAAGCTTCTGTGTTGAAATTGTTATTATTATCTCTCCTTTTTTGTTTTTTTTTTTATTTTTTTTTTATTTTTAATCAGGCTTGTTTCATTGAAGGCACTTGGTTTCCATGGCAATCTATAAAAGACGGTGGTTTGGTTTCTTCACGTCATTAGAACAGATGACTTAGTTGGGGAGGGGAGAGGGGTGTTCGGGTGGCCGCAAGCAAACTCCGATAAGCCTGTGTAATATGTAAGCCCAGGGCGCGGATCCTGGATAGTAATGCATGCAAAAGGAGACGGCATACAGTTATCAAGCACAGCCATGAGAAATGAAACATAAATGTCTTAAAACAGCTCTGATTTAGGGTTATTCTCTAGGGGAGGTGACAGCCAAAGGTGAAAGGGCCTACGTGTATTTATCTCTACACTAAAAACCTTCTCAAAGGGAAAATGAATGCCAGCTCTTCACATACCCTGTTTACAGTGAGCTGTTGCTCTCTCGCTCTCGCTCGCTCGCTTTTTTTAAATTTTCTCTCTCTCTCTCCTTCTTTTTTTTTTTTTTCTGTTTTTTGTTTTTTTGGCAGGCCATTAGGTTTCCATGGTAACAAGCAAACTATTCATTTGAAACAAAACCAGCCATGACTTTCTGCTTTGACAAGGGTTTCTATAGCTCTTTTCCGAGAGTTCAACCAGATGATGCTGTATTCGTTATTGACCACAAAAGCACCTGAAGGTCTCTTCCTCCCTTAGGCCAGATACCGTTCTCACGTGTGGTTCATAGTGAGTTACACTCCCGTGATGCCTTTTACGTCCCCAGTGCTTTTTTATTATTTATTTATTTATTTATTTATTTATTTAACATTTCAGTCAGTCAGTGGAGGAATCTTTGGTAGTTTGTTTTTAAATGTCCATTTTACAAAGACTCTTTCTTCGTGCCAGTGCCTGGTGAATCTGTTGTAGCCTCTGCCAGGATAAGGTCACCTTTGATGACTTAAGACAGACATGAGGAGGACAACTGGGATAAGCCGTATATGCACTACTGTCCCAACAGCACCTGATCGTAAATCTACAAAAAGGGGGGAAAAAGGTAGAATTAACGAGCTGCCCGGTCAGACAAACAGCACTGCTACAGGGCCCAGAAAATAAGGGGAGCTGCCAGCACAGCCCGGCTGGGTGCAGCGGGGCGGTCGCCCAAGCATAGCACGTGCTGAACTGACCGGGGAGGGAGACGGGGGTACAACTGAGCGCCGCGACGCAGCCGAGGTCTGCATCACCGTGCGCCCGTGGAGGTGCAGGGGCAAACGAGGTCCACGCTGCACACTCATAGCTACTCAGTTCGAGGACTTGTTTGGGCACCTGTAACATTTTGGTTAACGGGGGGTTATATCCACCCACCATCCATCTCGAGCCACCTGAAGAGGAATGGATCTATGGGCTGCTGGTTCGCTAAGTCTAAAAGAAGTGCAACTCTTCGGATTTAGCACTATCTGAAAAGTCAGAATAAGTCTGTTACTATCAACTGCCAATGACCCCTCAGGTCCTTGGGGCCCTCCTGCAGCTCAGCAGGTCCCTCAGCTGCCAGAAACTTGGCCGATCCGGGCCGCCTGCCTGCAGCACTGCAGCCACGCCGTGGGAGACATGCGGCTGTGTGCAACCCAAATCCGCCCAGAGCACAACGGCACAACACAGCTGCTTATTCCAGCCCACATCATAGTGCAACTCTCTGCTCTCTTCTCTGCCTAATGCCCACTTGCTTTTCACTTTTCACTTCCATTGCCGCTAAAATAGTATTTTCCTATCTAAAAAGAGACACTGGGACACCAGATTTTGTTTCTGAGGCAAGCTTTTCAACTTAAAGCTCTCCAGCTGAACCAAAACAATATTCTGTTCTCTCTTCTGTTGGAGAAAATCCATTTCAGAGTGTCTCGAATTCAAAGCCACAAGGAACTATTTGCTCTCTTGGATGGAGAGCCACCGGATGGAAGAGCCACTTACTGTTGGCCGGTTGGTCTGATTTCATACACTCTCCTTCCACGATTGATACGTCATCAATAGCAATATCGCCTTCTATGCCGGGACCACGGATCCCTTCAAATATGAGCTGCAAAGAAATAAAGAACAAGCCTTTCACAAGGCGGGAAAGATATGACAAATGGAAACCACTCGGCTGCATTTTGTGCAGTGTCAATCTCCAGTGATGGGCCTGGAATAATTTAAAAACAATCTCTATGATGCAGAAAAATGCAACTGAGTTCACACATACTGATAAGGTGAGTGCACCATATGTATGAGCTACGGAGGCTTTCAGGCTTCAGAATTAGCCGAGAAACAGTAACGCTGCTGTCTGCCTGCCCCAGGGAAAAGGCGTCCTTCCCACCCGGGGCACGGCGTGGGGCAGGGAACTGCTCCTGCTTCCGACAGCGAGCCGCAGATGGCCTCGGCGAAGCAGGCTGCGGTCATGCGCCCCTGCTCAGCTCAGCCAATATGCTAGTTTTATCATGTATATTTATACAAATTCGAAATTCCTGGAACAAAGAGGGGGAAGGAGCCTTCAGGACCAGGCTTCATTTCCCAAGGAAAATGCTGGATTCTCTAAATGCAGTTATCTGGCAGGACTACTGCAGCCTACGAGAAAAAGCAGGATTCAGCTGCTCTTGTATTGCCGTCTGTCTCCAGCCTCTTACTGCGAACAAACATCGAGTTTTCCATTATTTCCCACCATTTTTGTTTCCCAGCAGCCTGCAGAGCCTGGCCCCAAGATGCCTCGGCGCATCCCCCTGCCGCTGCGGGGATCGGAGACACTGCCAACCCCGTGTCCCTCCTGCTCCACTTCGTGGCACGTCACAGTCTATAGAAACACTGATCCCATCAAATAATGGTCCCTATTTATTAGAGATGTATTTTACGGAGCGAGGAGGGGTCAGGATAGGGATTTTATTCCTCTGCTAAATGGATGCCTATGATTTCAAGGGACTATTAATCCTTTCCTGGCAAATATTCCTGGTCCACGAGAGCCCACTTCTCCTCTTTGGGACAAGCAGCTGAGGTACATTTTCCTCAACCACTGCCACCGCCACGTGCCGCTGCCGTCTGCTGGGTGCCCACAGGGCAGGACCCGCAGGATCTGCACTTTCCCATAGCCTGCACTGGCGAGACCCACCTGGACAGTGGGCCCAGAAAAGAAGGGAAAACAGCCCTGGAGAGGCCATAAAAGCTGAAACCTGGAAAGGGAAACGCTGCCTAAATGGAGGAGGGCGGCTTGCGGCAAAATCAGCGGTATTACTTGCCATAATGTTCAATATTAGCTACGGATTACAGCTGTACGAAAGAAACAGTTATCTGCTACCCTTTCCCAAAACTGATGTGATCCTGTCCTGCCATACCGCTGCCTTAATTAGCGTTGCAGAAGAGCAAACCTATTTTGTGTTGCAGGAAATTTATTCACTAGCAAACTTCAAAGCCTTTCTAAAGAGATGAAGAGAATTATGTAAGGAATATAGTTCCCAAGCAGCACCATTCACCCAGCTATCTCTCCACTCCCTTTTTCTTCTCATTCCAAATACTTTTGGTTAACTCAGATGACAAGTTTTTTAACTTTAATCTGCAACAAAATATGCATGATATTCAATGAACTTTATAGGGAATGTTGTGGCACTAATGAAGAAACTAACTCTTGGGGGTAGAATCAATTTGAAAAAAAAAGAATTCTATCTATCTGGAATAAAATACACAAATTGCACTTTGTCATAATCTAAATGCATTAGAGGGATGTCTGGAGCGCTTCGACGGGCCCCTGTTGCCACTGATTCCAGCAGGACGCAGATGCAGGCTGATTCTTTGGCATCTTCCAACATCTCTTTGCACATCGATATAGTTCCATCAGAGCTGCTCATTCAAAATTAGTAACGTTCATTATAAATATTTAGTAAACTCTCAGCACAGTGGAAGATGCCCCTGAAAACTGCGGAAGTGCTCAGCATTGTCCACGGCTTGGTCCAGCTGCAGCAGCCCACATTACACAACGTAGCAGTCCGCATCACACAACGTGCCAAGGTGCCAGACACCGGACCGCGCAGGCAGTCCTACTCTGCCTTGCGCAGGGGTGCACGGCCCATAACCTTGCCCACAGACATATCGTGCTTTTACTAGGCTGAATATATCCAGTAGGGGACTGACCCTGCAGTGGTTAAGCTGGCAATACTAAGGCATATATTTACAGTCTGATGGTTGTGTCCTAAGTCAGGCTGCAAGGGCTGCGTGGAGAGCACTAAATAAATGTGAAAGCCATGCATTTGGAGCAGGTGACTCCATCGCTATCTCACTGAAGTGTGATATTGTGGGTTAATTACTATAACAAGGTGGATATTAGTGCAACAGGGAACAGTAATTGGGGGAACAGCAAGCTTTTCCATAATTTACCCTGTTGTCTGAAAACAATGTCTCAAGTAATTATCCCTCTTACATTTTTTCCACTCTATTTCTGATAATGGGAAGCATTCAGCTTGAAAGTCTCTTCTCTTCTCTCCCAAAGTGCAGCTCGCCCTCGTACTTCTTGGCAGAAGGCAGATAACCAATCAACTGAGTGTAAAGTGAAATCATTTCTGATAATGAAAAACACTCTT